GATGCCATATGAGGAAATTTGAAGGATATAAGTGTTCTTTCCTTTACTCCTTGAGGTCTTTCCCTTACCTAGCCAGTTTTGATTTGACGTAATAGTGCCTGTAAAGATCCTTGCCAAGAATTGTAGTGTAAACCTACTGTGGTTCTCTATGCGAACTCTATGAGTTTTTTATCTATGAATTTGTGCCTATGTGCACATGTGTGTGTGTATGAGCACTAATGTTCTCTTCAGCTGTGGTAGGTCGTTAATCTTTTCGGTCAAAGTGGCCTAATCGATATTTAGCAGTGATCAGCTGTCATACTGCAAATACGGCAAAGCTAACGGTTTGGTAAACAGGAGGTTTAGCGCAAGTGATTTGTCCGCGTTTCGGTTTTTTCCTCTTTGATGTTTTTCAGCATGCGGTAGAATTAGGTCATGACCATCTCAGCAGTTGTTGGAGTAGGAAACTTTTGTTATTAACCATCTTTAGTGAGGAGGCATTTGAATCAGAAAAAAATTGAGTCGACAGATGGATCGGAGTTGTAGTAAACTTAAGAATGCGAATGTGTCATATCTGAACCTCAAATAAAGAATGCATCTGTAACTTGTGATTTAGAGATGCTTCTAACGATTTGAAATTGACGACAGCGTGGTTGCTTTATGTGGCATATAGTTGTGGTTATGAAGCTAGTTACTACAGTTATAATTCTATGTTAACTTTAGTTATATTGCTATTTATTTGTTACACAGTCTACGTAAAACTGAAGTCTTATTGCTTGAACCCCTATCACACCGGGACAACGTTTTGCAGCATAATCGAAAAAGTAAATAATAAACTCGAATCGGTCGGTAATCGGAGGTAAATCGCTCATACCACATTACTCTCGCCTTTCCTCCCAGTATCGAGCTTTTTTCCTTCAAAGTGCGGCCTTTCCATCCCTCACCGTTGAGGTAGGTGACCGCAAGAATCCCATTCGACCAATCCCAATCGGTTAGCCAAGTTACGTGCCATGGCTACCGTAAATTTCTCTTTCTACCTTTGACAGCGACATCCTCCACTACCTTCCGATGTCTGATCATTGTGTTGGGGATATGATTTTTAACATTCTTCGTTCCGTGGCTCTGTCGGTGACAAATAGCAGGCATTTTTTGGCTTTAGGGAGTGATTACATTTCACAGCGCTATGGCATTGCCGTCAGGACGATAGGACGGGATCTTCTTTCCTGATGTTACCGAGGGAGAGGGAGAAAGAGGGCCGGATGTTGGAGAAAAGTTGACTTCAGGTAGATGACAAAATTGGAACAGCGTGGTAGCTTCATATTGATACGCACTAATATAGTCGTTGTATTAAGCATTGATGAATAATGCTGCTTTACTGCGTTGTAGTCTCTGAAATCGCCTGCTGAAGCTGAGATGAATGACCTTTTATGGAATTACGTCTGGAAGGCAGCACTAACGAATCTCAATCTAGGGATGTGCTGCGTGACAGGCATTGATCATTGCTGTCCTAAAAAGGATTGACTGGGTTACTAAGGTGTTTCTCCCCATTTGCATGCCATGTCATGTTCGACTTCTCACTCGGCAACATGCTGGGCTGAGTTGTTGTATGGAAGGCCAGTGAGTCTTCCGTCACGAGTCTCGGTGACCTTTTCAATGCTTTTAGTCGCAGTTCAATAGTTGTAGAAAAGTGATGACGACTGCCTAAGTGTAAATTGGGATAATGCATCCAAAAACAAAGTGTTCAGTGCACACATCGTTCTCAGTCTTCATCCTCGTACAAAAGCCATGATTCTTTAACGAAATTGTTCAGTCAGTAAACTTTCAACGTTGAACACCAGGGCTTACTTTTCCTTCTGAAATTAAAGTTTTGATTAATTATTCTAAAACATTCGTGTAGAAGAGATGAGCAATCAATTTTCTTGATTTACACTTTGTGTTGAGTATTGCGCTGGATTATCAAGCATCAGGTGGATGAAGGTGAATTGCAACCCTAAGAGGTGCTCGTGTCAAGCAGCATGAACATGCTTCTTGCACATTCTGATATGGTCATACTAAAATACCATGATGTCCCTGTTGTTCGCAAGACAACGATCTGCGCTGCCTGCTTGTCAACTGTTTGCACCAGACATGAGGTTAATTCTTTGCTCAACGATAATTCTTTGAAATTGTCAGTTAAGGCAAATTGTTTTTTTCATTTGGATTCGAACCTGGCTCCTCCGCCCCCACAAGCATGATATTGACATCGGCCATCATGAACTGGGCCTTACCAGCAAAAGAAAAGAGAAAAAAGGAAAAGATGTTGAAGGAAAAGCTGCAGACGCGGAAGAGGGCAAACAAAAAGACATGCAAGAAGAGAAAAGAGACAAGCGAAATGATGCAAAAGGATTAGGAGATAAAATGGAAAAGAGCACCGAAACAAAGAGTGAGGAAAAAACTATAGAGAGGAAGACGAAATAGTTATAGATGTGGAAGACGATGATTGACGGGAAGAAGGAAGATAAAAAGAAAATGGATTGGACAGAGAAGCACATCTGAAGATAGTGATTTTTTGGGTCATGTTAAAAGAGCTAATATGGGATTTCACTTCTCGTTGCTCAAATCCTACGGCGAATTGAAGTAATAACTCTACAAACTATTCCATGCAAAGTGTAATGCTGAACCCATCCAGAAGCATGTGTTATTAGAACA